ACGTAGGTGAATTTTTTCAATCTTAAATTTACCCTCTTCTTTTAATCCTCCATGAACACCCTTGAAACAAAAATTTACACTTGAATTTTTTTGTATGCACTGTGGTGCAATTTTTTGACCAAAAAATTTCATTGAAGTTTGTCCCTTCATGCCCTTTGTGGAGCAATTTTCAGGCACCATCTCAAAGCCATTGACGCAATAAAAGGTTTTCAGTGCCCTTTTATTATGAAATGAAGTTATTTTACCTTCAAATCAAGTTATCAAGAAATCAAGTTATTTCATATGTAAATATGGAAAAATCTTATTTATAAAAGGAGGGGCAATTGCCCCCACCTTGCCCCACCCTGTGCACGCCAGTGGTTCAATGTTGGTTAAAGTATTTTTTTTTTGGAAAATGTTATAATTATTTTGGAGTAGCACCCCACTATATGTAGTCCACAAAGACGCCATGGATGTTGTGGGATACAAAAAGCTGCCAAAAAACACGTGAATGTTTTTGGTAGCTCCATCATTAGCTTTAAATTAGGTCTCTGAAGCAGAGAAGAGAGTGAAGGCTGCATTTTATGATAACGCAACAAGCAGTTGTTTTCCTTATCAGAAGACGGTAATTTCAATATTGAACAAAATGTTGGTTCATATGTGTTTGTTCTTAGCCGGCGCCGGTGGTGTAGTGGTAAGCGTGACTGCTTTCTAACACCCCAATGGGTCTGGGTTCAATCCCAGTCGAGGTCGGTGGGATTTTTCTGAGGCATAAAAATCTCTGGTCACGTCTTCCTTCGGAAGGGAAGTAAAGCCGTTGGTCCCGGCCCATGTGTGTTGAATGGGTGCGATATCCTACGCAGGTGTGGAAGCTGCCTTCCTGTGCACATTCGATTGCCATCAATGGATGGCAATCGATGTCCGTCGGTGATTGGCACTAGATTGCGGAACAGAGACTGACGTTAAATAAAGAAAAGATTATGTGTTTGTTCTCCAATTTAGAGGACAATCCTTATGTGAAATTATCATGCGCCATCATTATGTAGTTTACAGCGTGTTGGTAGGATGATGCAAAGTAGAATACTGTGAATTTTCTCAAATCAAACGTTTCATTTCCGATTAATTGAAAATTAGGGGATTCAATTATTGAATTTCGAAGTTAGAGCAAACCTCTAAACCCGACCTCTAACGAAAACTTATCATGTGACACCTCAAATCACATAAGAATAAAAAAAAAATTAAATGGTAGTCATTTGGAGGGCATAATGCCACATTGGACAGGCCTGGTCAAATTTCGATCCCCTCGGAAAATTGGCAAGTTACTGATTATGGTCAAAACCATTGAATAACATTAAGCAACCAGTTCAATGGCAGTTATTAGGAATAGGATTATTAGGAATTATGCGATGCTTCAAATCACATGAGAATTCATCTACTTCCTCTATACTCTGTTTAAGAAAGTTGTGTCTAGGAAGTAAACAGGAAATTATGTTGCTGCGAGTGAAGGAAATTGTAAACAAACCACACCTGACAGTCAATGCAGGAAACAACTAAGCTCAACCATGATACAAGTGTAGATTAGAATTTTTTTTCCAAATATTCAAACTTTTCAATAAAATTAATGCAATAATAGTCTGCTAGCATGACGTTCACATCTTTTAGTAGTATTATACTGCACAACAACTTTGGAAATGTAGGTAAACATTCCTCATGTGGTCGTTCTTTAAAACAAATATTTTGTATAAATAATTTCCGCGTTGAACCTGTTGCTGGTTGTCAAAGTAATCACGCCGTAAACCACCTGATCACCTGTGGAGCTGTTCATTAACTACGTAGACAGTTTTTGGGATTCTTGCTCCTGCCCCCTCCCCCTGCGTAGACGTCAATACAAAACAATTTAAATTTGTATGGGCCGTGAATAATTGCTAACACCCCCCCCCCTCTCCCTCAAAACTGTCTACGTAGTTCATGAACAGCCCCTAGGGGTGTTAACATCTGTGCGGATTTGCGAGCGCTAGTGTACTAGTCAACTGCTGGTAGCCACTGATGCCCTGCTTACATTATGCTAGCTACTTTTTTGCACAGTGCTAGTACACTAGCGCCAGCAAATTGGCATAGATGTAAACACCACATTAACCGCTGACTTGCTTCTGCTTGCTGCAAGACTCAGTGCCACGCCGTCCGAAGCGGTAATGAGCAAAATATTTTGACTTTAAATGACCTATATTTCTTGAATTTGTGTGGTTTACATGTAGGGTAGAGAACTACTTCGGCCTAATCGCCCCTTTTGGGCCTATCGATCAGAAAACTTCAAATAAATCCATGATTTCAGTGTTAACAAGTCTGTTATGCGTTTGGTACGATACTTTAGTTAATAAGCTACCGAACGAAGTCAATGAGAACGCGTGATATGAATGTTTGCACCCATTTTTCCCAAAAACAAAAGAAGCGCTCCGACCGAATTATTTTTTTTCTTCATCCGATAGGCCGAAGTGAATTCATTAGCGTTTCAATTGTGTTTCAATGCGTTAGGCCGAGTTTAAAATCCGTAGGCCGAGTTTGGCGTCAAGAAGCAGTGTTAGACTTTTGACAATATCTCAACGGTTGGTTTCTCTTTATCAAATCTTACGGTACGTACGGTAAAGGAAAATAAATTTGGAAGCCATCAGTAATAATAACATTCCGTTTGGTGCTAAACTGCTCTAGATTAAGAAAGACTAAGTGCGGGTTGTGCTTAATAGGCCGGATATGGGGTAGTTAACCCTATAACTTATCAAGTGACACAGATGCGTCTTTTCAACTTGAGTTCTTTTGAAAGTTCAATTTTTAATAATTACAGTTTCTAGCCCTATCAGGCCCACTAAGAGAATGACCACCTTGGTGAGATTGGTTTGTTGAGCAGGGGCACGACAGCAGCACTCTTTTATATTTTTCAGGTTCAAGCAGAACAATTATCATTTGTACATATTTCAAACGTTTTTTTTATGGAAAATTGGAAAAGTATTTATTTCAACAAATTTGTAGACTAATATCCTATCGATTGGCGTATTTTGATTTTAATTTCATCTATAAATGACAAAATTACAAGCGTTCATTTCGTACCTAACACTTTTTTACAATACATTTTTTTTTCTACGTCAAAATTACAATGAAATCATTCTAAATTATCCGGAGAAAAATGACACCCGAAAATATTATCCATAAACGCAAAAAAACCATCTATGTCAAAAAATTACATGACATTGAATTTTACATCATGACAAAACACAACACAACATGTAACTTAAAAAAACTTTGTTTCTACTAGCAATTTCAAGAAATTTTAACCAATAAATTCCTGATTTGTTAAGCTTAATATAAACAAAACACTATTTTCTCGTGGTTCTACAAGAAAGCGTCTCAATCTAATGTTCCACGGCTAAGATTGATTTGGTTATTACTCGCTCAGGTGTTAAAACCTAAAAATCTCCATATTGAAAGGCATGAGAGGAATTGATAAAAAAATGTGGTGTCCAAGTTTTAAAAAGCGCTGTACTTATTTCCAAGAAGCCCTAGCTTCCTGGACCTCAAATCCATCATTGGGTGTACCATTTGAGTTTCCATACCACGTTCCATAGCACTACGTCAGCTGGAAATATGATTATCATCCCATCAACTATGTTTCGACTTCAACCTACCCCGACAGAAGCCCCGTTTTCAAAACTAAATTAGTGCACAACACCAAAATAAAAATGCTATTATTTCTCTTTTCTTGTTCGAAAAACGAGTTATAGCCAGATCCTTCGGTCACACATACCTAGTGCACCACCAACATCGGTTTGCATGCAAAAATGTAACCAAGAACAATTTGCCACTGACTGACTAGCAGGGCCAGAAACAGACCATAACCTTTTCTCTCGCACACACAGCAACGCTGCTGTCATCGCTCCAGGTGGTACCGGGCAACCCGGTGAGACAGTTTTTTCCCTCACCACACCGAGGCGACAGGAGCCAGCATTCTTTCCGAGTCTGTTTTCGCCACAAAATAGAAAATGTAATTTCCCGCGGCACGTGTTTTGTTTCATGCTTTCCAGCCCGCCCCTCCCGCAGAGCGTGAGATGAGCGCGTCCTTTATCCGCTGGAGTGTCTTTCGCCAATCTAAGGACAATCGTTATACGGAAAGAGAAAGAGGTTGTTTTTTTTTCAGGCCACACAACCGAACACTCATCATCAAACAAATATGTTTTTCAAATTGGGTGGGTTGAATTGGGATATGCATGGTGGGCGCGCTCGCACAAACATCCACACACTTGCACACGGTCCAGGCCCACTCCGAGAGGGTCCGTGAAGGAAAGGCGTCCCACCGACGGAAGTGGGAGGTTCTGGATGTGTGTTTGATGAAACATAAATTCATGCGACCCTGGGAAATGAAGTGCCAAGAGCAATTCGTTACTGCTGTGATGATTGCGAGTTGTTGGTTGTAAAATTACATTTTTTTTTAGTCCAGTCCTGTGCCTTACTTGTGCTTGTTTTACTAGGACTAGGAATTACAGTGAGCGACAAAATCGGATGCAGGAAAGTTGTCACTCGTTAAGCAAATAACACTTTGCTCTGGCTGTGAAATGCCTTCAGGTTAGGAAAATTTACAAACAACCAACCAGCTCGAGTCGCAATCGGAGTTGGGTGGATCCGTGTGATGTGGGAAAATTGAAAATAATGATGTTGAGACAAGCTGCTTTCGCGTTGCTGCTTCTGGATCCGATTTTTATCATTATTCATGAGTAAGGGAGAGGGGCGAGGACTGCCACACAGGAGTGGGATGCAGGAGGAAATTGTAATCACATTTGAAGTGCTTAAAATCTTATTGTCGGGCGCCGTGGAGAAGCGAAGAAGCTTTTTCCGAGACGGTAAGCGTCGTAAGGCGTGTGATAATCGGGAATTTTTATGCGGCAAAAGGTAATCACTGGAAGCATTATGGCGTATCAAAATTATTTATAAATATCATTTCAAAGTAAACCGTGGGTTCACCGATCAATACATACATTGGGTAGTAGGGCAGAAGGGCAGCAGACATACAGATGCTAAGTTGGTAGGCTTTATTCGTGGCTCATGGATTGCTGGAATTAAATGAGCAACAACAAATAAAGACAAATGAAAATTTTTGCGATTCGGTTGGTATTGGTAGTTGAGAATAGGAATTTGAGAAAACATGATTTAATACTTCTAGTTTCAACAGATTTGGTAAAATTTGGCAATGATCTTTATCACTGATTTAATTAGGTATATTAGATTCGCTGTATTAGAGTTATACGTACTCCAATGTGCAATTTGTATGTAATATACGTGCGAATTGCCGGCAGAACAGTGATCAAAATAGTGAACTGCTACTTTTTCCCAGTTTGCGCCTTGTGCCAAGAGCATGGGCTATATTCTATTCTTTTGCAAGTCCAACGAAAGTGACAAACCATAAATCTACTAACAGCCAACATAACTGCGGGCCAACACTGCTCTTAGGGCACAAGCTGAAAATCCAAAAAAACTAAATGATTGCCTGATGTATTCATGGATTTCATGACGATTGTTGTATTTTGGGGCAACGATGAATGTTAGTGGATACATTGAAAGCTAGTGATTGGACTCGGATTTTTGCTATGAAGAATTCTATATGGTAATCGAAAAAACAAAAATTCTATACAGTGTTGTACCATAGTGCACCGAAATCCACGTCAGTTTTATGTTGACCCTATACTGTCATTCATGTTCATCTTACAAAGTTATTATGTTTCCAAGGGAATTTAATATTTAATTAAAATGAAATGTCGTGATTATACATACTTTGGGTGGACAGGGTGGTGAGCGAACCGGAATAACCGGGAAAAACGGAAAGTAACCGGGAATTTGAAAAATAACCTGGAATTTGAAAATTAACCGGGAAGAAACCCGTGAAAACCCGAGAAAAACCCGAAAAAAAGCCGAAAAAAAAACAATAATCCTTAATAATTAGGATTTGATTTCAATTGCCGCGACAGAAGTGCTCTCATTATGCAGTCAAGACTTTTTAAATAGAAACAACTTGGCTTGAAGTTTTGCTGTTAACGTCCTGTTTAAAATTTAATTTAGGTTCATCTGTTGTTGAACTAACGATTATTGTTTATTAGTTTTGTAAAACACATTTTAGGTCATTCGTGTTTTGCCCGGGATGAGATTTGAGCTCAAGTCTTTCAGCGTGAGAAGCATGGATGCTAACCATTTACACCAGGCCCGTATTCAGTTAAACAACATGAATGCAAAATCAGTACTCAAATTTATTTAATTGATAAAGGGTGATACGGTCAAAATTTGGTCAATATCAACTTGACGTATTTCTTTCAATTTTGCATTTAAAAAACCTGAACACCCCTCATTTTAAAGGTGTGTGTGTGTAGAATGTTGCTCCTATTTTGATTTTGGAATTCACTCTTCAGTTGTCAAAATGCCGTCCAAGCAAGAAGAGCAGCGTATCAAAATTTTGCTCGCGCATCGCGAAAATCCGAGCTACTCGCACGCAAAGTTGGCAAAATCGCTAAAAGTTGCCAAATCAACCGTTACAAATGTAATTAAAGTGTTTGGGGAACGTTTGTCGACAGCCAGGAAGTCTGGATCGGGGGGAAATCGAAAACCGGAAGCCGCTGAGACGACAAAGAGAGTTGCCGGTAGTTTCAAGCGAAACCCTAACCTCTCTCTCCGAGATGCCGCGAATAAGCTGGGTGTATCGTCTACAACCGTGCATCGAGCCAAAAAACGAGCCGGACTATCGACTTACAAGAAGGTAGTGACTCCAAATCGCGATGATAAACAAAATACGACGGCCAAAGCGCGATCCCGGAGGCTGTACACGACGATGCTGACGAAGTTTGACTGCGTGGTAATGGACGACGAAACCTACGTCAAAGCCGACTACAAGCAGCTTCCGGGACAGGAGTTTTATACGGCAAAAGGAAGGGGAAAGGTAGCAGATGTTTTCAAGCACATGAAACTGTCAAAGTTCGCAAAGAAATATCTGGTTTGGCAAGCCATTTGTACCTGTGGCTTGAAAAGCAGCATTTTCATAGCTTCCGGGACTGTCAACCAAGAAATTTACGTGAAAGAGTGTTTGAATAAACGTCTGCTGCCTTTCCTGAAGAAACACGGTTGTTCCGTACTGTTTTGGCCGGATTTGGCATCTTGCCATTACGGTAAAAAGGCCATGGAGTGGTACGCCGCCAACAACGTGCAGGTGGTTCCCAAGGACAAGAACCCTCCCAACACGCCAGAGCTCCGCCCAATTGAGAAATACTGGGCTATTGTCAAGCGGAACCTAAAGAAGACCAAAAAACTGCTAAGGGCGAGCAGCAGTTCAAGGCAAACTGGCTTTCTGCGGCGAAGAAGGTGGACAAGGTGGCTGTACAAAATCTGATGGCAGGGGTCAAGCGTAAGGCCCGGCAATTCGGATTTGGAAAAGCGGAAGCCTAACTGAATATTTTTCCTGAATTTTATACTAATTGAACTTGAAAAAGAAATTTAATTTGATTTTTTAAATAAACGATTTCACCGATTTACACGCGTTTTCCCTTGACCAAATTTTGACCGTATCACCCTTTAGCAGGATTAGTTTTCCGTTTGATTCAACAGTGTAACATTTTGCTCTCATTTTTGCTGTGTTAACCGTTAAGTTAACCAAAATGAGATCAACTGGAGTATTCAAAATAAGTTACATCATAACAGCAAATTTTGATTTCAATTTGATCTTCAGCTTTGCTCGGTTACTGCCCTCGACAGTGTGCCGTCAGCAGTGAACTAGCGGCTAAATTCAAGAAGGACCTGTCCACCATAACCCGTACCGGTTCCCGCTTCGTAGTTGGAGGAGATCTAAATGCTCACCATAAGGCCTGGTGGAACTACCAGCAGAACCAGAACGGTCGTCTGGTTTTCTCCGTTTGGTTTTCGAATGAGCCAACATTCATCTCACCGGCGGGCAACCGCTGGGTTCCTGTCAAATACCAGCTTGTTCAAGCCAGTAGCCTTGAACGAACTCAGCTCTGACCACCAACCGGTGGTGGCTGAACTGGGCTACAACGTGGCCCCTACTCCAAGTCTGCGCAAGGACTACCACCGCGTAAACTGGGCCCAGACGTCATCGACAACCTGCCGTTTGACACCGTGGAGGACATCGACCGAGCGTTGGAGGGACACCACCAAGCCATACCGTGGCTGACGAGGCGTGCGTCCGACGAGTTTCTGTGAGGGGTAAGTTTATTGCCATTGATTCCCACACCCAACTCTTGATTCGCCTGAGAAATGTTCGTAGACGCCAGTTTCAGAGGACTGGAGATCTGGGCAAAAAACGTGAAATGGCCGATCTGAACAGGCAGATTGCTTCCAGAATGGACTCACTCCGAAATGAAAGTTTCGGACGTGTTGTCCAGAATCTGGAAGACCGCTCCAGACCATTCTGGAAGGTAGCCAAGGTCCTGAAAACTTATACCAAACCAGTTTCACCTTTCAGAGTCAAAAATGATGACGATCGGCTTTTAATCGCCCCACAGGAGAAAGCAAATGCGATCGGCAAGCATGTCGCTTCAGCGCATTTGCTTGGCTCGAATATCCAAAGTCAGCTCGAAAATCAGGTTGCGCAATGCGTTCAAAACCTAGATGCCTACCCCTATCTCGTGCCTCCGGCGGATATGATTACAGTACAACAGATTTGCTCACCGCTGAAATGCACCAAGAACATGAAGGCTCCCGGGTTTGACGGTATATTCAACTGGATCTTGAAGAGACTCAGCATGAAAGTGCGCAGTCTCTTCTAACCGCTATCTTCAACAGATGCTTGGTACTGCACTACTTTCCAAGCATCTGGAAAGTAGCTAAATTCATACCAATCCGCAAACCCGGTAAGGATCCAACATTGCCTTCAAGCTACAGACCAATCAGCCTTCTTTCAGCGCTGAGCAAATTGTTCGAGAAACTTATTCTCAATCGTTTGCTCAAGTTTGTCGAGGAAAATAACATTCTCCTTCCGTAACAGTTTGGATTCAGAAAGGGGCACTCCACCAATCACCAGCTAGTACGGGTGATGAATAACATTCGAAGTAACAAAGCTGTATCCAAGTCCACAGCCTTGCTAGACGTCGAAAAGGCGTTTGACAATGTTTGTCATGACGGACTTGTGTACAAGCTTTGTAACTTCAACTTTCCTTTACATCTTGTTAAAATCACCCGTAATTACCTCCAGCAAAGGTCGTCTAAGGTATCGTAGCTTTACAGCATCTACACTTCCGACATTCCTCCCTTCGGAGACGGTTGTGTATTTTTCCTGTTCGCAGATGAAACCGCAATAGCCGTCAAAGGAAGGATTTCTCGAGAAATAACGAACAAACTTCATTGATGCCTTTACGCCTTTGCTGATTATGCCACCACGTGGAAAATCAAAATCAATGCCTCCAAAACACAAACAATCATGTTCCTCCATCGGCATTCGCCTAAACTAAAACCGACTCCATCTTGTACTGTAATCATGGATGGCACAAGAGTTGAGTGGTCCGACGAAGTAACCTATCTCGGGATGTTGTTCTGCCTTGGTTAGGTGTCTGTATCCGCTGATTTGCCGCAGATCCCGCCTCTCAAGGGTGAACAAACTGGCGGTCCTCTACGCAGCTCCGGTGTGGAAATCATGTGCACAGACTCACAGAAACAAAATTCAGGTCGCTCAGAATAGAGTGCTAAGGATGGTTCTTGATCGTCCTTTCGACACTAGAATAACAAATTTACACGAAGAGGCAGGCATTGCAAAAATAGATTCCAGAATTAACGAAATTAACACTAAATTTGCACAAAAACTGTATTTTATCAGAACATGCTTTGATAAGCAATTTGTAAATAAGATCGACGGAAAACAAATCAAGGGAAAAAGTAGAATGGTCTGTGCCTAGGGACACGAACGGAAGCTTGACGTAGGACCGCTAGGGCACGGAACAAATGTGAAGAGAATTTAGTTCTTTTAATTGATCGATCATCTATTATTTTTACTCTTTCCGTTTTTGATTTGTAGGCGTACCAAATTTGTAGTATTTTTTTTTAAAGAGAAAGTTGATGAAAA